AGAAGAGAGAGAGAGAGACACACACACACACACACGCGCACAGATACACAAAACAAACCATAGCTTCAACAGGATTAGGCCCATGATAGTTGCCAAGTCTCATACTAAGCCAGAGGCCTGTTAAACTATCACAAGTAATGAAATGTAAATGCTACAAATGGTTGAGGAAAGGTTCACAGATATGCAACACAGTAGACAGGAAAAACGGTACTGTTTAATGCACCTATATTATAAAATGTGAGCCCCTATAAAAATAAAATAGATCCATAATGCCGCTAAGGGAATAGCATGGAGAAAATGGTAACCCACATTAACCATTTGGATGATATTTCAATCAGGAGATATTAAATATGTATCATACCGAGGTTTTGTTATTGAAAAGATGAGTAAGCTTGCCGGCCTCCAAGGAATAAACAAGTTTTAGGTTTCCCTGCCCAACTTCCAAAGTATCATTTGCATTTTCTTGTGATGTGTATACCGATGATTTGGTGGACAAGGCCCCTGCACATGTACAAAGAAAATCTTAACCTGGATCTACTATGATTGATTAAAAATTACTGTAAAACACTTTTCCGTAACATGATTTCTTCAGTCGAATGAGTTTACCTTCCTTCTTTCCACTTGAGATGACATATGTAGTAAAACCAAAGGGAGGGACAGAAGCTGCAAAACCAAGCCAGTATTTGGGAGCATCACTTGCTGAGATACCCAAGTATGCAGGGACATAAAAGTTACGTAAGTTGATTGAAACATTGGCCATGGGTATAAGCTGTGATTCAATCGCTTTGCCTTCAGAATCCCAAACGGTTACCAATTCACTATTAACCTGTAGCAAGTTTGAAAATGCAAGACGTAAAGTGACAATTCAAATTATGTGACAAAAAGGATGCAAGCTTAACAAGCTATGTATCTTCAAGAAGTAAAAAAGATCATATCAAAATCATGTGCACAACCACATACAGTCAATGATTTCAATAATTTAAACAAGGCCATTTTATCCAGCACTACAAAAAAGTTGAATTTCATAGTGAAACATTTCTCACAAAATGTTGAATTTCCTTCACATTTCATTTCTAGAAACGCCATTCCTCTCCTTCGGCAAATCAAAGTTGATATTCAGAATAAGTAACCACAAACTATATAAAAGGAGTTTAGAAAAGGCCAAAGAACTCACTGTTTGTTAATTATAGTAAAATTATCCACTAAACAGACTTTATGAATTGCATTTACAATTGGAGCTAGAAGCGTCTCCAATGTCCTCTGTCCAACAGGTGCAACATATAGGTGTATGCGTATATGCCTCTATATAATCATTCCATGTTATTTAGTTCACTACTAATCACTTTGACGGGTTTTGCAGGAGGATATCATCAATGACATGTTCTACCCCTAAGTCCCCCATATAGCATTTCACTTCACTCATTCACTACATAAAAGCATGCTCCTTCAAACAGGGATGACAAATTTTGACATGGAAAAGGGTGAGTCCACTGATACACATAGTAGAAACATTGACTTATGAGCCATTAAAATTACTAGACTTATATACAACCCACAGATTCTCAACACCGCCAGATTTGTAAATTCTGTAATCATATAATCATTCTCGGTACCCATTCATTAACTTAAAACCATGCAACAAATCAATCTGAAGATTTTAAAAAATAACAGTTGGGAAAAAGATCATTATTACTTGCGTCTTTTTTTGGTATTGTTACCTGCATCTTGGTTTTCTACTAATCCAACTTTAATTTCTGAGATTATATTTTATGCAGCATATAATTTCAATAATTCCACAAATACTATCGAACTTCTAGGTTACATGCGTTAAAAATAATGAGTCTTAGGCAATAAACTTGTGGCTTCATAATTAAATCACTCAATGACATGAAATGATATGCATAATTAAGGTCAAAGGGGAAGTTATCAAAAATAACCCAAGAGACGAACTATTTAACATCTCACACGTTCTTTTGATTTATAGTTGATATTTAGTTGTGGTTTGATAAATTTCACACACGAAGAACAAAATAGAATATCTCATCATACACTACAGTAAATACACTGGTGGGACGCAAACAATATTGAGATATGATGTTCTATAGACTATTTGCATGAACATTGAAATAAAGTCCCTGCATGTCATTCCTTTTGCTGATAAAGATTGAAATGAAGATGGTCTAAATTGTTCTTCGGTTGATAAAATTTTTAGTAATCATCAGTTATGCTGTACAATGTCCAGTAACAAGAGCAACATCAAATGAGATGTATACTTACGGGAATCCTAATGATATCTTCACGCCTCCAACCAAGAGAATTATAAGCAACAATGACCTACAGGAGAAAAGTTAATAGTTTCAATGGGGAAATGGCTATCAGATTCAATAGGAAAAAGTGGTATGCATCAATACTGTAAACTTGTAAGGCAATAAAACTAGGAACTCACCAAGCTCTTTCCAGAAGTTATATCTGCTTCTGATGGAGGACAATAACTTATATTCAAGAGTGGGCACTGAAATAGATCATCCAGGTGTCAGGATTCAGTAATTCTCTTGAAGTTGAAACAGAAAAAGAAAGGCTGCTTCATCCATAGAACATTGACATTCTAAGTTACCTAGTAAGATAAAATAACTGCAATTAGAAACGAAAATACGATTTCGGTACACAGAAGAGTCTTAGAAGCATTTAATAACACCCTCATCTCATAGTTTACTAGTCACTAAAACCAATAAAGGCTGAATGAAAGGATGGAAGAACTTCATCAAAAGTCTCCATGTCACGCTTCAGCCATTCTAAAAGAAATATCCAGAAAAGAGAACAAGATAGGGGAAATGACTTTTTGGGAAAATATATGTAGCTATAAAACTCTTTGTAGCCACAAAGCTAAAACCAATACCCTTGCACACTATGAAATTCACAAACAGTTATTCCTTTCTCTGTGATTTTCTCTTGATGGATCCTATCTATGATTTGACACAAATTATTTTCACTCCCCACGGATCGCATAAGTTTTTGAGGAAAGTGCATCAGACTCCATAAAACGTCTCCCAATATTATCTATCGATGGCTGAAAATTTTCACAAGTTGAGCTAGGATGTTTGGAGATTTTTCTTATTTTTATCACAAGAAAAATATATCCATGGAACAGCGGATGGTCATCCACAAGACATTAGGGATCTTGAAAAGCAGAGAAAGCCGTAGTCATGAAAAATTCATGTACAGCTTATGTCTCCAAGACACCATAATATTCCTTACCTGTGTAAATTTTGTTCCAATGTTTGCACAGCTAGAATTTGACCTCGATTCTGTCAAGCAAGCCAGTGCACTATTGACCAGCTCTTCAGCCTGAAAAAGAAAGAAATGAGCAATTGAATCAAATCCTAAAGAACAACACTACATAAAGTAACTAATAGACTGCAATAGGGTTTACCTCCACATAACCAATTGATAGGCGTTTTGCATAATCATTTGCCACATGCTGCTTTTCCGTTCCACTGACTCCATCATGATGCTGAGCAATGGCCAAAGCATCAGCCAAGCTCGCCATGTTAGGCCCTGCACTCCTCCTCCCTCTAAGAAATTCCAACTGTCTTGCTGCCTACTTAAAAGATCACACATTTAGGATAGTCCACATTATTATAGAGCTCCATCTCAAGGGCGTCAATATTAAAAAAACGACTGCCCAGCCGCCTAGGAGGCCTGAAGGCCAAAACGCCCTTCGCACTGCCTAGGCAGGCTATCTAGATGTCATGTGTCTAGGCACTCGATCTGTGTCGCCTAGGCGGTGCCTCAATGCAGCTTGGCTAAGGACGGAAACAGGCCGTCGACCAGACGTATTTTCGGTATTTCCCCTCTTTAAAAAGGAAGGAAAAGGGTTTTGGGTAACATTCTAGTCCCCCAAAATCCCTTTTGTGTATTTTAGAGAGAGAACTCTCCAAAACTTAGATTTTGAGATTTTCTCAAGATCAAAAACAATTCTCAAGATAAAAAAAAATTCAGAGAGAACGCTCCAAAAACTTAGATTTTGAGATTTTCTCAAGATAAAAAACAATTCTCAAGATAAAAAAAAAAATCAGCATTTCCAATTTCTTGCGAAATCAAAAGATATACTTCCTGATACTTTTTGGATCTTGGAGTGGTCGCATAAGAAGAGTTTTGGCAACCAAAGATCAATGGTTTGGGCCTATATCGATTTCATTTTGAAAGGTAAGTGCATTACAATATTTGAATTAGGGTTCACTATGTTTTAATATAATGTGTTTTTTCTTTTCTGAAAATATATATTATGAGACCATTTACTTTTGATACAAGATCACAATCATTGTCAACCATTGGATGTGAAATTGAATGGTGGTGACACACCACAAATTGAGCACAAAGTCCAAAACAAATTTTCTTGAAAGCTGTGATGCATTTTAATATGTTAAATTTCACATCCAATGGCTAAGAAAGGTTGTTACCTTCTTGTACCAAAAACGAATGGTCTCATAGTATGCAATCCATTTTTTTTTTGGTAATATTTTTACATGTTTGTAGATGAGAGAGACAAGGGATGATGCTCAATATGTTGAGGAGGGGGATTTTGATGATGATGGCATGGCATCGTCATTGGATTCTATTCGGGATGCATGTGGTACCGAATTGTCATTTTAAGTTATTGAGCAGTACATCACATTACGTAGGCAGTGGACATCATGCTTTGAGTATTTGACTTTTGATGGTTACTTTATCAGTTTATGCAATAAGGAATTCGAGTTTTGTTGCCATTTGATGATGTCTGTGTCATTGTGATTATTTATTTTTTTATTTTCAGGGGTTTTGGGACCCTAAAACTGCCCTAACAACTCCCTAGGGGGCCTAAACCCCTGCCCTAAGAACTGCTTGTGGGCCTAGCCTGTCATTGTTCCAGGGCTAGGTGGGCGCCTGGCCGCCTACGCAGCAAGCCCCCAAACCGCCTAGGCCAACGCATCCGACTTTTTGAAAATTGCAAGGCATTTATAAACAATCAATACCAAAAAACAAATCAACACTAACAAGAAATTCTTACCATGTAATATCCACTCATCACTCTAACATATCGTTTGAAGGCTGGCCTGCTTGTAAAATAACCAGTCCAGTATGCATTCGCACGATCAGCATAGCTAAAAAATGTAAAAGGGACAGCCTTAGGACAAGAAACTTCGAACTACGTGATGTAAATGCTCAGTTATTGTTTACATATATGAATTTTCAGCTATCACAAATAAAAAGTGATGATCTACTCACGGGAAGAAGTCCTCAGTTTTGAGAGGCCAGGATTCATTTTCAGCATGCTTTGCATCAGTGTACATCGATGGGGTTGAATACAGGGCATTGACGCGCCCATCCTAACAGTATATGCAACAGCACATTCATTCACAAGAATATCTTTTGAATATACAAGTGATATCATATTTAATAGTGGCAAATCATACATACATATATGCATACATACCATTTCAAATTTGAAAAGCATGATGATGAAAAAAAAACCAATAACATGAATTTCTTGCAATTTGTAGCAACAACTACGAAACAGGGATAACACATAATAACATGGATGCCCGCCATATGAAACCAAAAAAAAAAAAAACGTTGACAGGAAGATATCATAAAATAAAGGTAGCATGATAAAGGGGACCTTGATTTGTACCAGTATTTTGCACACGTCATTGTCTATGACCAGAAATTGGGAAAAGGCTATAATGATGATGATGATTGTCTATGACCAGAGTTGGGCACTTAGCAATTATCAATAGCAATGGTCAATTATAGTACTCCTTAGGATTAAATTCTTTAAAAATATAATTAATATCCAATCATTTTAATTTGTATTAATCATAACAATTAATAGCAAAAGAGACCTTTTGGTAGGCCATTATCAAGGTTTTCATGTATCAATGAACAAATAGTGAGTCCGTGTATGCAATCATAAGTAGCTGAAATCCAAGACCTGCTGCAAGAAGATGCAGGCCTCATTGCCCCAAGTGTAATAGTTATTGACATCAAAACCAAAACATATCTACTAAAAGTTATTGCATATCCATAAAGTTCTTTGCTAACAAATATCTGATTATTTCATGTTCCTGATTAATAAATTTAATGACAAAGTTTCCATCTTGAGATAATGATACAAGTTACTCTACTTGCAAGAGAAGGAAGAAAAAACATTTCAAAAATTAACTTCAGTAGTGTATCATATGTAATCAGAACCTTGTGCAATAAACAATCCATAAATAGGAAACAATAGATATAATATTTGTTGAACTGATTGTCTTGAAACTATCACACCGAAGTCACAGTACCTTGTTGACATAATGAATGAACTTATCCATTTGCCTAAACCAAGTGTTTGCATATTGATAACGGAAGTCAGTTCCCATGGTCCACATGATATGGTTTGTGCGAGTAACATTGGCCTGAAACACGAAAAGTCATCAGTTGAAGTGCATCGCTGGCTATGTATTCTTTGAAGAAGGAGAGTGATAGAAAAAATTAAGAAGTCAGTCGTTATTACCTTACAGCTAGAGTGACAGAAAAAATTATGGAGTATGTTACAGCTAAGCACATTCAAACTCATGATTTCCATTTAGCTTAAATTCAAACTATCAGCATACCAAATCCAATTTTTTAAGTCAATTCCCACTGCCCATACCACACAACAGTAAATGATCAAGTACTTATGCCAAAACCACGGGTAAAGCAAGCATATCCATTGCATGGATGGAGAACAAAACTGCAATATTGTATAGGGTGTAGAAGGAATGAGTGTCTTCATCTTTATGCTCAAAAGTGGCCAAAAAAAGCGTATATAGAACTTGGACAATCTAAACAAAATGTCTTTGGAGGCCACAAATTCCTCCAAGACACACACCTCTCTCCACAGCTTGAAGGCATACATAAATTGTTTCTTGCTCCTATAACTCGGGGAGAGCAACAAACCTAGGTCTTTATAGTAAGACCAGAGGTGCTTCCCTAGTTCTAAACACAAAATGTACATAATCAAAGAGAGTTCATAATTTATTCATGGGAAATTTACCAAAACACCATAAAATATCGACTATTTAACATTGCATCCATCTATCAAATCGCACCTAAAATATCAACTATTATAACTCACGATTATGTGTCCTTTGATGGATTTTTTAAATTAAATTAAAAGCAGATGATATTTTAAATAGTTCATCTCTTGGAAGCTTTTTGATAAATTTCCCTTGTTTTAGACAGTTGCTATTTTTGATTGACCAAATCCCATGACAAACAGATGGTATTGCAAATAGACCATCCAATTGTAGAGCATGTAGTGGAAGTTTACAACAAATTGTAAGCCTGGGATTTACTTCCGTGAGGATTTGCTTAAGTCCAAATTGTTTTATGTTAGAGATTTAAATGCAATTAGTTCATGACAACTTGTTTCATTGATTTTAGTTATACAAAACTATTATTCTGCCCGTACGATGTTAAATATCTAAGGATAAGTTTAGTTAGTCCAAGAATCTCTGATAACAAATGGAACTGGGAGACAAGATCCTCCTGATGATTATCTCATCCTAAAGTATTTCAACGGGACAAAGATCGTTGTTCTAGAGATTTCATAAGTCATACTTACAATCTCTAAACAAATTTTAATTGGATAACAATTCAAGTTCCCTAGAAGTAGATTACTGCACTTAAGAAAGACAAATTATACTCTCAGTACTGAAGCAATAACTGAATTATCTTCATATGAAATTCCAGCCACAAATGAAGATTAGAAGTATCAATATCACAGATTTACCTGCTCTATTGCAGCATTAACAAAGTCATCCACTCGCTCTGGCACATTGTAATCAAAAAGAAGAATATCATCCTACAAACCAAACCAAAAGATAAAAGGCTTAGCATGAATTCACAAGTCCAGAATTTATAGATGAATATCATGTAAAGATTACCTGAACAAGAGGTGATTCATCGTTAACTTCAAAGTAGAAACTTTCTGGGGGGTCATAATGCTTTGGAAATATGCTTGTGAAAATCTGAAAGATGCAATAATAAGAAAAAGAAACCAGTACAAATCATAGTTAACAAGTCAGGGACTATCAAGAAATCGGCTTACCATAAAATAGGAAAGAAATTGTTTTTATTTTAAAAAGTCTGATGAAAAAATTGGGTCAAAAATACGGATCGGCAAAAATACTTCATGTAAAGATATCGCTAATATATCGGACTAGGCTCAAAAATTCGGAGTCAAAAAATGGGATAAGTTAAAATGTTAGAAATTTTGAAATTCTAAAAAATAAAAATTATGTCAAAGCCATCAATAACTAATCCATTCATAAAAACTTTACTAGACTAATACAATTAAGTCAATTAATTTAGATATCTCATGACTCTCATCCAATCATATAATATTAAATACAGAAATAACTAGAAATATTCAAAATTAGGCATACGGCATGGTAGAGTCCAAAGAAAAGTTAGGAGTTTGGGAATGTGTAATCCCCAAGTCATATAGCCATGCATCATCATCTAGAGAGGTGTCCATAGTTTCCGCCTCTTTGGAAACCTCTTATAACAATGAACCAAGTTGTTCAAGATTAATTGCATTACAATCTCAAATTTCATTTTCACACGATGCAGCCATCATCTTCGAGTTCATTCGTATGTAAACCGAGTCAGTTAACATAGCTGGTGTCAATCTATTCTTTTTTTTGGTTTGAGTCCCCTCAAAAGCACTCCAATTTCTTTTGCATACTGATGAGCTACATTGTTGGCTCAAAATCCGAATGGCAACAATTCGAACCAGTGGAATGGTTCCTCCACATACTTCCCACCAAACTCCTACATAATGAGAAATTTTTAGCCACATACTCGAGATATAATTAAAAGTGAGATAAATTTTATTTTCTTCAAATACTGAAAAAATAAATAATACAAGAAGATACAAAAAACTAATAATCAAGAAGATACTTACGAGGATGAATTGTTGACAATAATCCCAATGCAACACCATCAAATATATTTGAATCCCGCGTATGGTACTTCAACAACTCTGAAAAGAATACAATTTTCTATTCTGCCTGAATCACTAAATTTGAAATCAAGGTAAAGTCATCCTTCATTTCAAGTTTAACAAACCCACCATACATTGAAGTTGGATTAAGAAATGCGGCAACAGCATGAATGGGGTGAATTATATTTCCCTTTCGCCTCTTTTCAAACATCTTCACCAATTCAACATACCTAGATTCGTTGCCATTATAATTTCTCTTTTCCATTGCTTCATATAAATATCCCATAGTTGACCCATCACTATCACATCATTCCAAAATTTGGAGCTTTGAATTATTTTTTGCGATTTTTGTATCATTTTACTCTTATTATAATTCATAGCTCTCCACTCAGAGGATGCAATTATCATTCTCAAAGCCCTTCTACTAGCGATACAGATTGAACCATCAAAAAGTTAGTGGCAAATCTAGTTTTACCATACTTTTTCAATTCCCTTCCATAAGTGTGCTTTCTCATTAAATCGAAAACAATGCCATGCCGATACATAAAATCCACTATTAACTTAGCAACCTTAATGACATTTTGTACCCAAATAACATTTCTATCAATGTCTTCTATAAGCAAATTCAACCCATGTGTAGCACACCGTGTTTTATGAATATGAAGGAATCTCGATTCTATTAGATCACCAGCAAGTACATAATTTGATCCATTGTCAGTCACAAGAAGAACGATATTTTGTGGTCCTAACTCCTCAATGACTTGAACAAGAATCTTTTCAAAGAATAATCCAGTTATGCTATGCTCAGAAATAATCTTTTCAAGAAACATAATCTTTTCAAGAATCTTCCACTAAGAGGCTTTGCAGCTCCGAACCCAAAATTGACCATCGTTCACAGGCATTCTAGTGCCCAAAATTGACCATCATTCGCAAGCATTCTGGTGATGGTCCTGATTGGGATTTGCCAAGTGGGATGATCTGTGCTAATTATTTGAAACTTCCTCCTTAAATGTTTCAAAAAGTGCTAGGCGGCACCTAGGCGGTCGAAAGGGGCGAGCGCCCAAGACCTGGGCAGCCCAGTAGAATTTTTTTTTTTTTGGGTTTTCTCTCTCTAAAATAGCCTCTAATGAGTTTTAGGTTTCAAATGAACCTAAACCCACAATTTTGCTTCTTTAGTATTAAAAAAAAGACCAACAAATACCCTCAAGGAGCCACATTTCTGCCCCAGGGTGGGGCGCAGGCCCTAGGCAGGCTCAGGCAGGCGCCCTGGGATATCCGCCTAGACGGCCGCCCAAGCGCTGAGCGATCCGCTTTTTGAAACTATGCTCCTTATTCATCCAAGGACAAATGAGGGAGAGGCTGCCAACAAAAGGGCAGGGTTCCTTCCACCTCTCTTAGCCTTCCACCTGTTTGTTAATTTCCACAGTGGTTTTAGAGAGAGAAAATGAAATGGGGGATACACAAATTGGCTTGCAAGGGCAAGAAGACTGTGGTTCAAGGGGTTTTTCTCTGTAATTTGCAGGAGGTTCAAATGGAGTTTTTCTCTATAATTTGCAGGAGCAAGAAGATTGTGGTTCAATAGGGTTTTTCTCTGTAATTTGCAAGACCCTAAAATCAATTTGGATTGCAAGAAGAACTATTTAGGTTTGTTGATTTTAAGCTTTTTTCTTTTAAGTTTTTGTATTCATTTAGGAATGCCATAAATATTCAAGGTTTAATATATATGTTTCCCAAGAGAATCTCTCACGATCGTTTGACATGGCCTTTATGTATCCATTGGCATGTGATGCTCCATTCAAAAGTTTTCCTCCCTAAACAAAGATGCCCATATGTTTCTAAACAATCTTATAGATTCTTCCAACAAATAATCACAGAAATCTAGTTTCTGCATCTATATAATTTTCTTTGCACAATAATTTCCTTTACACAATGATTTGCAAGTAAACAGTATTTCCTTTACACAATAACTGCTGAAATCTGCATCTACATGTTTAAGTGAAAAAGAAAAAGAAAAAAAAACCATACCTTCAATCTGTAAATGCGGCTTTGAAGAAGAAGAACACGATTTTAGCATAAACCCTAAGATAATAAACCCTAAGTCCTAACAATACATAAATCTATTGGGGATAAAAATTTCCATTTTAGGATTTTTTTTTTGTGGAAATAATATGTTTTTTTAGAAATTATACATAACTGGAAAAAAGTTGTTTCCCTTTAAAAAAAAATTTACAAGTAAAAAAATGAAATGTTTTTTTGGTCCCATTTAATACGTTCTGCATAAAAACGCGTTTTTAACATTATTATGACAACAATAATTTTTTTGACGAACTTTAAAAAAAAAACGCCGTTTGAAACGTTTATCAAAAAAACCTCTGATGTTTTGAAAAAATCGGCTATTAACTACCGATTTGCTAACTATGGTACAAATACAGTTTCTCTATCAATAGAAAGCCTAGAAATGACAAATTACATAGAATTGAAAGAATTTTAAAAGGTAGAATAAAGATTATAAAATTCCCTTCACATAATTTAATCTATAAGAAATACTCTAGTACAAATAAATTTCAATGTGGCTAACCTGAGCAGATGAGCCTAGGGTCCTAGAGCCCTGCCATACAACTTCAAGAGTCTTTTGGTCTTTCCGCTTTTGCCTATCTTGATAATCAATTCGAGCAAAGAAAAGGGAATCAAATCCAAGCTGCAAGACCAGACATTGCCATGAACTTTACAATAAATCATACTCATCAATAGGACAGTCGCCCTCTCATATCACCAAGTCACAAGTCACATTATTATGAAGCAATCTGCATTTTATCTAGACGAGATAATTTTCTTAATAAGAAAAGAAAAGAGAAGAAATTAAAGCAATGCCTTATGGAACTCAAACATTTATAGTAGGAATAGTAAAATCCCAAAACCCAACCTCCCCTCACTATACCAACATATGCCCAAATAGTGTATTAATAAACAGATATTTAATCACAACAACTAAATGCAGATTGGCAGCAATTTGACTCAGAATAAGAAAACTTGCACACAAAAGAAAATTTGATGTGACTATATATGTGCATTAAGCCTAGCAGTCATCTTCAAAGAGGGTGTAACATGAGCTAAATGGGACTGGCAGCTTCAATAAGCAGAATCAATCACTTGCAGCAGCTGAACAGCACAAAGTAATCAATGTGCTCCAAGAGGACAGCTCTCAATACCTAAAGGAAGTTCCTTCTTGTTTGTACAAGTACAAAAAGCAGTCATTAAGCAATATGCCTAGACACCGGCATAGAACTTTGTGCACCAAAATCCTGAGCATATCTTCCTTATTGGTCAACGAAGGCCCTTTTACATATTTTTATAGATCGTAGACGATATTGATATGGTTACATTGGTCGAATAAATGCAACCAAAAAGTGATGTAACCCAAGAAAGAAAAACAAGGAAAAATATATGAAAAGTTATCCACTAGGAATATCTTAGAACTATACAGCAAAAACCATCAAATCTAGATCCTTTGAGGCATTGCAAGATAAAAAGGCAGAAGAAAAAGAGTAGAGGGTTGCAAAAATAGAGGAATGCATACTTCAGCACCAAGCAAGTAAGCTTGTACTGCTGAGTGTCCAAAGGGATCAATCTGCCAGCCAATCCTAGGAGTCTTGCCAAACTCCTGCTTAATAAAACGATGCCCAAGAGTTGTTTGATCAATCATGTCAATGTAGTGGGGAGCTGCTTCATCATGCATGCACATTCCACCATTTCTGTGGAGTCAGAGTGCATCATCAGATGTTAAAAACTTGGATCATCAAATCAACCACATAAGCCTTGTAAAAACATACAAGTTCCACCATAATAGGTCTCTACGACGCAAAAATAGACATTAGATCAGAAAGATGGCTAACCCACATCAAAAACTTATGGGGGATTATTATGAAGAGAAACAAGAATAAGCGTTACATAAACTCTAATTGGCCTGAGTTAACGAGTGCCTTGACAACTGCCTGCATTGCTTCGCTCTGTTCTCTCCACCAACGCTGGAAAAATGCCTGCAGTGGATCACAGAGAGAGAGAGAGAGAGAGAGAGAGAGAGATGTTTCAGCATTAGTACTGAATCAGCCCAATCCTAAAGGATAAGAGAATTCATAAAAATTTCTTGCAAGGGTTGATACATGCATGCATACATTATCCATTTATACAGGCATAAGACTTAGCAGTCCCAGCTGAGAGAGAGACAGAGAGAGTTTGCAGCACAAAAGCTGAATAACCCAATCTGGAAACAAATAAGAAAAAATGAGGAAACCTATCATGCCTGCTCCACATAGATGAACTTGCGGTTCTTATCCGCCAGCAACGCAGGAATAAGGGAATCCAATACATTCTGCACAGAAGCACCCTGAAAAAAAGGAAAAAGAACAGGAAAGAAAAAAGATTTTCAGGTGACAATTTCAGAAAAACATGCATGCACAAATCCTAAATTAAAAAAAAGGGAATACATGCCACACATAATGACACATCATTCAGTGTACATAGAGTTGCATCCACCATCCATCCTCAAGATTTGTAGTGGAGAGCATATGTAGTACCGGTGACTGACATTCAAACATAACTACAGGACATCACACTCTCCATATTGAGAATGGATGGAGGTTTTTTTTTTTTTGGTAATTCGGGGAAGACAGGCCCCTACCCCTTTTTTCAATAGATTAGGGAGTCACGTTTTGAAGGTGTTAATTGGGGGTGTCAGCGGTAGGAATGGATATCACAAAGTAATAACTAGGTGTGGGGATGCTACCACCACAACCCCAGCCCCTTTCCTAGAATGGATGGAGGTTTGTGGATACGCTAACTGTATATTCTCTACCAAACACAGAATTTGTATTGCATAGTTTCTCAGTTTCTCTATAATAAAACCCATTACACGAATCCAGAGAATTAGAGGTGAATGGTATACTTTCCTCGGAATAAAACCCAATATATGAATTCAAAAATGACTGTGAAACGAACCTGAATCGAATTGTTGGAACCAACATAGTACTGATCAACAGTCTTCAACCACCCCACATCATCATGAGTATGAGCAACCAAATGGACGTTGATCTTTCCAGGAACTGTCCTCTGAGAAGTGTTATAGGCTATGAACTTTCCATACGCACTTCCATTACAGAAAACAATTCCCAAAACCAATAGCAAAACCACTCTAACTTCCATTGCTATTGCAGTTCTCTTGCTGACTGACTGTAACAGGAAACGTGTCTAAATTAATGGAAAAATAATAACGTAGAAACCTAAAGTCCAAAAATTGAACTATCCAATTGCAATTTCACTAAATTAGGAAGTCACAAAAATATCAAAGGTTTCTTTTCCTTCTCAGAACTCTATGTTTCACTAACAGTGTAAGAAACTCTAATAAATTTCTGAAACCATAGACAATAAACGAACTTCACTAAGCCACTAAGGAATACATTAAGCATCACCAAATCCCGAAATTAAACTAAACGCTATTATTGTCCACATTAACAGAAGCAGTAAAAGCTTAAAATATCTGAACGTGTCTAGAAGGATGAACTTCACTAGATTAAGTGATCGCCACAATTAGCAGAAACTGTAATAGGTGCCATCACTTTCACAGAGACCTCTGATTCAACACTGCACAATAAAAAGCTTGAATTGACAACAAATTTAAAAAATCGAATCATCAAATTTACCACGACACTTATTCCACACTAAGCGATCACCATGCTCATCAGAAAGCTCACTCTACACTGTCCACACCATTACTGTTGCAAAGACCTCAGTCAACTTCATGAAAGACCGAAACCCTAGCAATAAAGAGCCATTTAAGCCCAAAAAACCCTCGAACCAGTCCAAACAAATTCGATCACGGCGGATTTAACGATAAAATGGAGAATAATAATGAGTAAACGCTGGTCATTTACCTTTTGTATCCTTTTATAGCAATAATGATGAAGCTCTGATAATCATTCCTGCTTTTTGTTTAATCTTCTCCAACAATTTTAGGGTTTAACAAATGGAGTAGGCTTACTGGAAAAGTAAAGATGTTGAGATTTCAGCGTCTGTTTTCGTAAATGGATAGCTGCTTCGCTTTATTTACAGGGCGCCAGTTTTGATCGGATTAAGTGGAGTTTAGTCCCATTTTTAAGTCGAGTTAGTAACTTAATTGATATATCCATTTTAAAATAGGGTTGGTGAGGATACTATATATCGGTGATGCCCCTTAGTTTTATCCAGAATCCGGGATGAGTTCACGTGGAAGTTGCACGCGCTGTTTGGCTTTTATTGAATCTAAGGGAAGATCGGATGGCTGCTTTTAAATTTAAAGATCTCCCATTCGTAAATCTTGGCCGTCTGTTACTTGTTGAAGTGCGTGCTTATCCACCTGCTTATACAATATAAGTTGGAAAATTTATCCGAGGAATAAATTATAGAAAAGTCTAGAATAAGATTATTTATCTTTTATACAAAGTGGCACATTAGTCTTGGCCATGGGATGTAAAATTGGGTGGCTGTAATTATTTCATTGATCAAGCTTAAGCTTCAAAAGAAATTTTCCAAGCTATCAAATTTCATATCAAATGGTTGTAAAGAATTGTGACCACCTTATATAAAAGATAAATAGTCTCAGTGTCTACTATCCTATAAATTATATATCTCCTATAGTAACAAAGTACTAAATTTTTTTAATAAGGAAAAAGTTTATATAATGATGCAACCTTATAATGTAGAACTATAGATGCACCTCAAAAATCCATTGGAAAAGGTAGTTTTAATGCTGAAAAACCTGTCGATTGATCATCTCGACATCGAGATGTATGACCATGAAAAATAAAAATATTTTAAGTCTAAGAAATAGTGCATTTTACAACATATTATCTACACCGTTCATTTTCAAGATTTTCATAAGTTTATAGCTCTACTTGATTTTAACCACTTTTGCAATTTAAAATTGTATAATTAGATATAAAAATAGATTTTGAGATAATCCTAAGAACATTTTACATCAAAATTATATACCATGATAAAATTTGAATGTACACCTCACCTCTACAGCTAATGACGCAGCTGTAACCTCTTAATAAAGATGCAATTTCTATAAGACCATTACTTTGTTAAAATAAATAAAAAATAAAAAACGAAAGCATTACTTCGAAATTTTGTTTCAAAAACATTTTAGGCATGAGAAATTCTTGAGATGACTTTGAAATTTGTTTCCACCTTATGAAACAAATTTTAAAAATAAAAAAATGGTGTGAATATGTAAACACTTGAAAATAGAACATTTAGATAATATATTAAAGGGGGAGGTTCGTATAAGGTGTCAACCTTATACTATTGAAGTAAAGTGCGCCTCAAAACAATTCCGAAAATGCAGTTTCGGTGCCGCAAAGCCTTGTGATGACCAGAAAATATGTTGTTGTCCCCAATAATAAAAGTTAAAGTTGCATAAATAGTGACAATCAAGCAGATCTTTAAATAGTTGAAAATTTTGAAAATAGACAGTCCAGATAATGCATTAGAAGATGAACTATTTTTAGGACTAGAAATCCCTTTTTTTTTTAATGTATATGAGTCAAAAGATCGAGATGATCGATTTGAAGGATTTCCAGCATAGGAAAAACCTTTTCTATTGAGTTTTTTAGGTACACCTTTCTCGTACAAATATAAGGTCGACAATTTATATAAACTTTTTCTTATATTAAAACATACCCGGTCTTTTAGGGCTTGAAACCCCCTTTTTTTTTTTTTACAACCATGATGATCAAATTCGAGATGATCAATTTAAAGGTTTTCTTATGCTAGAATTATAATTTTCCATAAGCCGTGGCCTTATTTTAATAATTTAATAGTATTCCATTTTCTGCTATTTCAATTCATGTGGATTTTGAAGGTTTGAAATAGACAAAGTTTATATGAGGATGCAAACTTATTTGTAGATGTAGCTTGCAGTGATTTGCACTATCCATTTAGACTATATAGATTTGATATTATCTTAAAAGATGTGTGATATTATAATATTATCTTAAAAGATATATCAAATTTATACCACCTAAATGAAATAAATCATATAAATTATCTTTTTTTGTTTTAGTGCTAACTATTACTTTATTAACGAAAAGAGCCAAGCACTATAAGTATAACTATTAACAAATAAAGGAAAAAAAAAGAAAAGAAAAATAACCTACTTTCAAAGAAGACCGATCTAGACTCCTAAAATACAATATAATTATGAACCTTGAAGACCTTATACCACCAACCTCCAAATAATCCCCAATCCCCACAAAACACATAAATCAATGTCTGAAGGCCTCGTCCAGTCGTCCTCTTCGACGTCCTCAACTTAACCTAGGCTTCCCACCATTACTCGTATTAAGCACTGCCCCTTCAACAGTCACCTGACCAGTTGAGGTTATGGCGATACACAACCTACTACGACAACACCCAGAAGAGAAGTGATAACAGCGTGAGAGCATACCAATCAGTGTTGGTGTGCAAGCATGATAGTGACAGTGTAGAGCATCACAACCATACTTTTACAAACAATGTTGCAACCCTATACAAACCACACCCTTTTGAAATTGAATCAAAAGATATAGATGCTATCTGATAAATTCTCTTAGTATTTTTGTGTTGTAAATAGCTATTTACCAACAAACTTTGGTTAGTTTCACCTAAAAGATAGGTGGGAGTATTAAATGGTAGTAATGCTAAAGGATAGCATAAATTAGTTCCAACAAAGTCACTTGCGGCTCATGTTTTGATATTCCTATATGAAGGAAAAATATACAAAGAGACTATTTATTTTTGGGAAAGCTTTCTATGCTTCTCCTACAACATAAAACATATATACTTCCCTTTATCCAACTATCCATTCTGAATGGAGGGCTAAAATTGCCCCAATCACAATGTCACGTCTCTACACTATTTTATTTTTAATGTTTTTTTCTACAAACTAATTTAACAGTAAATTTTGTACATCCAATCCTCTATTAAACTTGCACTAGCGAAAAATATAAAACAAATAGTTTCAATAAAATAAAATGATCAAAATACCCTAAAAGATTTAAGGGGTATTTTGGTCATTGTATTTTACCAAAAAATTATTTGAATATGTTTTATAGGTGCCCAATGAGAAAATGGCACATACCAAATTTTATATTCATATAATTTGTATAAAAAAAAACTAAAAATAAAATACTTTGAGACGTCGGATCTAAGATCAAATGGTGAGTGGCTCTCTTGATCAAAATTGGATGGTTGGATGGTAGGGGAAGCATAGATCTTCTATGTTATAGGAGAAGTATAGAAACCGTTCCCTTTACTTTTAGTACCACTTGTCTATTAGATTTCCATTTGGGTAGTTGTAAGAGTATCATTAATTGACTGGTCTCAAGTTAAAAATGAATAAATTGGACTTTGTCAGATACCCCAAGCCATCCAATTTGACATTGACCTTCTTGTATTTAAAATAAATGGTCTCTTAATATATAATCCAATTATTAAAAAGATAAAGAAACTACATGAATAAGAACTAAATGAGAAATATTATAAAAAGCTTATGCAGACTTGTTTAGCCAACCCTATCAAGCAAAAATGACTTGTCAATCCAGCCAAAACTGGTCAAATATAAGTACTTGCTTGTTCTTGATTAGGCACCATTTTTGTTTTAACAAATTGGCCAAACCACATGTTAACAATCTAATCCATAGAGTCGGCTAGTCTAGTCCAATCTTTATTTATAGGGCGAGGGTTGTATAAGGTGCCCACCTTATATTGTACAAATAAGGGTTCACTCTAAACTTTACTAGAAGATGTAGTTCTAGTGTCAGACGCTTTACAATGGCTTGAAAGTCTATGTTCAACCCGAACTATGAAATTTGAAATTTCAAAAACAGTGCAAATCGAGCAGATCTATAAACACTTGAAAATATTGAAAAACAACGACCAAATAATTTATTACAAGATACACTATTTTTTAAGACTTAAGATTATTTTTTACTTTATATCCATACATCTCAAAATGCAAGGTTTCCTAACTCTAGAATTCTCTTTTCTACTGGATTTTGAGGTGCACCTTAATTTGATAATATAAAGTTGCTACCATATATAAACTTTTTTCTTGTAAGCATGGTTGAGAAAGAGTGCATCCCTTTAGTAATTGGCGGCAAATAGGCGAGAGAGTTTATGATGATTTCTACGCGTTTGTGCTGAGAGAGGAGGGGTGTGTAAAATGTAAGTAAAGTTCTCGATAAAAAGAGATAGCAAATGATTACGGCAGCAGGATATGGTATCCCTCAGAAACACCATTCAAGAGTTTTAAAAAAATTTGAATAAAAGAAAAGAAAAATTATTTGGTGCCTCCAATGTCACAACCCCTCGCCCTGACCCCTACCGTACCCTACCGGATGGCGATAGAGTGCGGGACCACAACCGGTGGTAGAGAATTCCACTCAGGATGAAGTGCGCTCATTCCTTTAGAAATGCGGCAATCAAAGCAAACCACGAAACAAAGAAAACTCTAACACAAGCACAGGAACTAGGTCAAAGGAGAATTAAGATTTATGACATTACATAAACATCTTGAAGTAGCACATCTGTTCAAGGCGCAGAAGGCCTAAATTACAAAAATTCATAGTTCCAAAAAGACAACCCAGAACATGGCCCTCTGCCAAAAACACATACAAGCAAAATGTCTTCTTTACAGGTACGGGCCTTCGTCGACCAGATCGATCTCCCCCAACCGGAAGTCTTATAACCTACAACTTCTACTCTCTTATCAAGTCACATCACACCACCACAAATAACTCGTGTGTGGCGTCATTGAATCACTTCACTATTATCAATCACACAAGAGGGTCATGCTTGGAGCATGCCTTCATATCACTCTTTATTTAGCATTCATCATTTGGCACTCAGGCCTTTCACATTGTCAGCACATAGAATTTCATTGTATAGAATTCATTATATGGCACTTCAGTATATGAATATTACATAGCACACACTAATTACCATTCACACTCATGTCATGATACTCACTATATAGTATGCACATTCACTATTTGGATATCACATAACATTCACTAAATAGAATTCACATCC